CTTGTTTGTAGAATGGGCATTACGTGGTTATTCCACAGTAGTTGATTGTCTTCGACTCAAATGTTCATTGAAATTTCGGTTCTGACCCTAAAAAGTCATGTCCCGGAGATTTAACTCCAAGTTCTGCACTGATTAATTTCTGCAATTATTCACCTGAATATATATATATACATATATCACGTTCAGCATCCCCTTAAGATGACACTGAAGAAGAGGCGGTAAGTTCATGGGCCGAATCGTATTCTTTCTGACGTTTCGGACGTCCTATTTAAAGTCAATAGTCATCGGATGTCTTTCATATACAAATGCCGCAGGATGCCTCATGTTGAACGGCCGAGCGGAGATAAGCCGGGGTTCGGCCTCGTGATCCTCTATGTAGCGAACGTTTCAGAGACGACAGCAGAAATCCTAAAACCTTTTTTGGATTATCGGGACTGATAGGTCAGAATGCAGAATCAGACAGCAAATCATGAGGCCCAATGACCGCTGTCAATGACAGAACAATCAGTGGTGGTCAACAGCATATAATGCCAAAATTTCGGTGCGAGGTATGTCGCCTCAATGGGGAAACGCCTTGACACAAGACTGTACGAACACCAACTTGCAATCAACCACAAAGATAAGCTGTCTCTGGTCTAAGGCCGCATGCAACGGACGCCTTTGTGAAAACAAGGCTGATCGACCGCGTCAAAAATTGGCCCTCGATTGAAATCCTTAACCGATTTATAGAACTTCCCAGGCTACCGAGAGAGACATGAAAAACTTCGACAGTCACTTCTGACTTATTAGTCATTGTCAACCAGCCACACTCAATCGCAGGTCTGACTTATCTAATATTTGCAGTGGGGCTCTCTAGTCATCGAACACTAAATAGTTAAACGTTCTACCATTAGACATAAGTGACTGATGACGGCTAACAACGCCGGTACGGAGATTTCAGTTTCCTGTGTCTTTGTCGATACACCGTCCGGTATATGCAATATGTTATTACCGACACAAAGACAAGGGAGACTGAAATGGCCATTTCTGGCGTATTAACCGTCGTCAGCCAATCATACCCAACCCCGAAGTGTGGAACATCCGAGGCCCTCACTGGCGACCTGTTAGTTAGAAGTCCTTGTCTCTAACCACTGGGCCACGAGCCTATTGTCCTGTTGGCTTCGATTGCGAATATACGATGGTAGGGTAGAAGTGAGTTCTTTAAGAACGATCGGTGAGCGCCCCCTACCATTAAATATATGTGACCGGAACGGCATTACCTATAATGACAAAGGAGTCTGAACTGACCACTTTTGGCTTATTGGTTGTCATGAGCCAGCCATACGCAACCCCGAGGTGTAGAACGCCTGGGACTCGATCCGAAATCTGTTGCTTAGACGTCCACCGCCTCTAACCACTGAGCCACGGGCCTACTTTCTTGTCGGTTACGATCGGGACACACAATAGTAGAGGGATGCTCACCGATCGCTTCTACGGGACTCACTCATCCCATTCTGCCCCTCTACCTACGACTGGAGCTCGGACGTAAAAATGGACCTTCGTATTTCCTCCTGCAATCCAGTCACCACAATGTACGCCAGTCTACTGCGTTCAGTTGTTTGCGTGCTGCTGTTAATTTTACTGTACGAATTGTACTTAAGTTGTCTGAATATGTGTAAAGGGTATCGGAAACCTATTCAGAGGTTTTCACGCGCAGAAAGCCCCTTAAACCCATTCCCTACCACCAATGGTTCAGCAAACGTTTTTGCGTCCTTTTCAGGTCCTCAGAATGTTACTGTAGTCGCTCTCTCCTCAGACAGTATGAATATTGCCTGGACAGCTCCGAATGATGACAATTATGACACGTACGACTACAGTGTAGACATTCGGACAGGCAAAACCGACTTTCAACAGTGCCAAGTGTACGCCGGAGACGATAAACTGTCCTGTGACTTTCATGAACTTCAGCCTGGCGCCATCTATACGATCGCGGTCAAAACGTCTGCGGCTTCTGGAACGATGAGCACACCGTCATTGTTGTATTATCCCCTGTGTAAGTTAATGTCTCCCAAATCGCTCCCTCTCCTCTTTCTCTCTCTCTCTTTCCGCATGTGCATACAGGTGAATCAGGTGAGGACTTCATTTTCAACAGTGAAACCAACTCTGCGACCCACCTTAAACCAAATTTTGTCTACTTTTGAGCGTGCGAGTCACATAGGGGCATTGAATACTACGAGCTCCTGGTTCGCGGGAAACTAATGACAATTTCAGAGCAATAAGCACAATCCTTAAACTCCCACTTCCGTTTAGCCTGTCATCCTTAATCAGATGATTTTTACCATCACAGAATACACGAACCTAGAGCTATCTCACGTTCAGTTTTTTAATTTCCTCAAAAATTAATGTTTTAAATTGGAATAAAGCTCTCAAAATGGAGCTCCATAGGTACAGTCCGAAATTTAGCTAGGATATTTGGGGCTGGAATTCATCAGTTTCAATTAGATGATCACGTAAGATGCGTAAACCGCTAATAGACACTTATTTGCATGATTGGCAATACTGCCAGAGCTAGTCCAATGCACGCGGTTTTCGCCGATATTCTGCCACTGCATGGCACAGCTGCGAGGGGTTCGACCCATAAATGGGTCCCCAACCATTCTCCGTCTGCTTTCTGATAGGTACTGTAATTTAGAAATATCAGGGATTGGCGACTAGAGTGAGACGCATCTGCTCACCTGAAGCTATTGAAGAAGAACTTCAACAGCTGCGGAACACACTTCGGGAGAACGGATACCCAGATAGATTCATCCTCCGAAATATTGGGGAACGCGTTGAAAAGCCCACTGTTGAGACTGCGAACAAGAAAGATGTATTCATAAGATTGCCTTTTAGAGGAGACGCAGAGAGCGAACTAGTCCGACGGCGCTTAACTACAGCTATCACGAGGGCATTCCCTGCGGCGAATTTACGCGTATGCTTCACAAACTCTCCCCTCCTACGTTTGGGAGGTAAAGACAGACTACCGTTGGAGGCCACATCAATGTGCATTTATTCATTCACTTGCTCCTGTGGAACAGGATACATCGGCCGCACAACGAGACGCCTGGTAAAGAGAGTACGTGAACATATGCCCGCCTGGCTAGACAGAGGTGAGACCCGGTCGATTTCGAGTTCTATTCTCGAGCATTTAATCGATACGAACCACCGAGTCGATGCCAAGAAAGCATTTCAGGTTGTCTACCGGACACCAACATGCTTCTCTAAAGGCCTACGCCAACGGATACTAGCAACGGCAGAGGCAGTAGCTATACGGGTAGTGAATCCGGTGTTATGCTGTCAGAAAACTCTGACACAAGCGCTTTCGCTGCCGTGGCCAACGCCAACGCCAACCCCAAGTGATGAAGCCATGCCGCCTCAAATCCCTAATCACGATGATGGGTACTCCGTGTACTCAACCCAAGATCATTACTCAAAGACTCTCTTACCCCCCTCCCCTAGCCCTGACGACTAACACCCGCCGACCTTCTCATGCGGGCGGCGTGGGGATGATGAGTGTTAGTGACGCAATAGCCCTTGAGGCATCTATAAACACTGTTGATTTTGTACATTTTCATTCGTTCAGGTAATTGTATTGGCCTGAGGAAGAAGTACCGAAAACGTGCGTTCGCCAACTTGACTTTTCAATTTAGAAATTGTTGCTTTTTAATTTCCTCAGAAATTAACTGCGAACTTGCAACAGATTAGTTTATTCTAGGACTATAGGCTCAGACCGAAGATCTTATGTATGAATATTTGGGCCGAAGTCCATCAGGCACTGTGGGTAACCGCGCACTATTCATGAACCACCGTCACGATTCACCGTGTTGAAGGTCTTCGTCAGATCCATGAAGATAGAGTAGAGGTGGGTCGGCATCTCCTGTCACTTCTCCTGCCGTTGGCGGGTGGCGAAGATCATGTCGGTGGTCTGACGGTGACGGCGGAAGCTGCACTGGCTTTCCGGCAGGAGACCTTGTTCCAGGTGGTGGTTCAGGTGGTTGTGGGTAGAATGCGATCGAATATCTTCTTGGTGATGTTCAGCAGGGAGACGCTTCAATGATTTTCGCAGATTTGGTGGTTTCCTTTCTGCTTGTATAGATACAGGATTGTAGGGTCCTTGAGATCCTGCGAGACTTCTCCTTGGCGTTACATCTCCCGGAATAGTGTAGTCAGATGCTCCATGAGTTGGGAGCCATCGTGTTTGTGGAGCTCAGCATGGAGCGCGTCCGATCGAGGCGCTCTCCCGCTGGAGAGCTTCTGCACGACCCTGGGGGTTTCGTGGAGAGAGGGCGGTAGGTTGAGGTCGGCGTTGGTCTCCACTTGAGGCAGACTGGCGATGACGGCGTCGGAGATGGCGGAGGGACGGTTGAGGAAGCCTCTCAAGTACTCGGCTCATCGCGGTAGAATTTGTGTTTTCTCGGCTAGTAGGGTGCTTTCGTCGGCGCTGAGAAGAGGATCAGTACCGTTGGTTGTCGGATCGTAGACAGCATTGATCGCGGAGAAGGCGTTCTTCTATTTGTGGCGGTCTGTGCATCCTTGAATCTCCTCGGCCTTGCGAGCCGTCCAGGTGTCCTTCATCTCGCTCAGCCATTGTAGCACAAGGCGGCGACTGCAGTGGAAGGCTGTTTTGTTGTCGTCAGTGAGGCGAGTGACGTGGGCTTTGTACAAGCAATTCTTTTCGGAGAGCAGGTTGCTGATGGCGGCGTCGTTGTCTTCGAACCAGTTCTGGTGTTTGCGGCGTGTGCAACCGAGGGCAGCCAGTGCCGTCGACCGTACTGTGTCCCGCAGTTGACACTGTCAGTTTTCTACGGAGGCGTTCTCCTCGATGACGGCGACTGCGGTGACTAGTTGATTGTTGGCTATCCGCTGAGCCAGCTCATTATTGAAGTACAGATGGTTAGCAGGAAAAGAGAACAGAGCAATATTCAGCTTACCTGGGGGTCGCATACCTTGAGGTCTCCTCCGAAGCTGTTGACGAAACGGCATCTCGAAGGTGATGAGGCAATGGTCGGTCCACCCGTAACACCCGGAATCGCCTTTGTCATTAGCACGTCCCGCTGGTCTCGCCTCTGGACGGGGACATAGTCCAGCAGGTGCCACTGACGCGACCGCGGATGCATCCAGGTGGCCATCATTGGCACCGGGAGGCGAAAGAAGGTGTTCGTCAGGATGAGTCGGTGTTCTGCGCAGGTTTGTAGGAGGAGCAAGCCATTGTCATTAGAACCGTTGAGATCTTGGGGACTGAACACTCCGCTCCGGACAGCATGGTCTGCGTCGACGCGGGCGTTGAAATCATCGAGGCCAATCAACTTATCCGCCTTCGGCACAGTCGCCAGGAGGGCGTGCAGGTCCTCGTATAATTTTTCTCTGACGGCGTCGGGGTTGGTCATCGTCGGAGCGTAGGCGCTGATGATGGTGACGAATTTGCCTCTCCGGAAAGGCAGACGGAGGCTCATCAGAAGATCGTTGATGCCCTGTGGCAGACAGGGCAGTCGTCCCACAATGTCGTTCCGGATGGCAAAGGCAACACCCGTGTCCCGTCGCTCTGCCTTTGGGCGAACGCTCCAGAAGAAGATGTAGCCGGCACCCACCTCCTTTAGTTGGCCTTGTTTGAGAACCGGGTCTCGCTGAGAGCGACCTATGCGTGAATTAGTTTATTGTAGCAGTGGACTTGCACAGCATCTACCGCACTCCCCTCCTCCCCTGCCTGCATCCGGTGTCAAAACAGAATTAAGAAGAACGGAGGTAGGGACGCAGGTGGATGGTGCGGTCGGGCACGCACCATGGCGTTCCACTCCACACCCTTTGGTCCAAACAGCAAATAACCAACAACAACAACGAGAATAGTGGGATGTGGTTTGAAATGTTTAATTTGTGCGTAGAAGTAACCAAATCGCGTTTTTTTGTTTTGAAAATATTTATTAAGTGGGGTTGTAAAAATTATCAGCCTACAGCATAATTCTATAATAATTCAGTCACCTCCAGATGCCGGCTTTCGAAAGAACTCCATTCCTGATGCATGCAAAAATCATAGTATAAAAAAGAACTACATGAATAACATGCATTTTTGTCACGGATTTTTGATACCCTTAAAAGTGCAATCATATTTTTTTAGTAAACACGCATAAAACTATCCATTCTTTAGCTTATGCGGTAGAAAATTAGGTCTTCTTCCAATTTTATACTTAAAGAAATGATATAATCCGGCTTTCAAAGCAGGTTCCGATTCCGGAATAATTTAGAATCTGACCTGCCGTTACACCTGCATTCAGGGTTTCAAAACTACAAGCCGTATATTTTTCGCGTACGGGATACTATGCAGTTCTCTGCTGTATTAGAAGGATACTATAAGGGGTTCATAAAATTTGGCAGTCGATTTGATCCACACCGTTATCTTTATAAGCCACATTCGTAAATGCAGACACATGACGATTTGTGAACGGCCATTTCACGGTATTTAAAAGTCTCGCAATTATAAACTTTTTAAAACTGAATTACGTCCCTCCTTCGAGCATAAATTTGGAAGAAAGCGTAATTTTCTACAGAATAAGCGAAAGAATGAATTATGCGTGTTTTCTAAGAATAATGATTGGACTTCTAAGATTATCGAAAAGCATTGAGAACAATGCATGCTGCTTAACTAATCATTTCTTACAGAGTATAGCTTTTGCATGCAGCCAGACGGAAGTTCGTTTAAAAGCCGACATCATGAGATAACTGAATTATTATAGAATTATACTGCAGGCTGATAAGTTTTGCAACACAAATTACTTAATCTTTTCGAAGCGAAAACGCATTTCGGAATTTCGGTTGGTATTTCATGAGTTATCCCACCTACTGTATATTTGCTGCCGTCTCCCTGGGTGAGCGTACCTTGCACTGGATGGGCGCACCATCTGTTCCCTGATTAGTTTGTTCTACTTCACCCTACTTTATCCTCAAAAAATCCCATTTTCAGTCCGTCCTCTGGTCGAAGTGATGGACGTATCGACTGACAGCTTCAAGTTAATCTGGAACGTTCCAGACAGCCTGGCAGATAAGAATATAGTCGTCTACTTAAATGACGAAACCGGACCAGCGTGCGACCCCACCAACGTCTCGGCCAACCAACGAGCTTGTCTGATTGACGGTCTAGAGGCCAGTACAGTGTATAAGGTACAGCTCTTTTCAGCCGAAGTTGTCGGCACCTCTGAGTTTGACTTCCCCGTCACCAGAACTCAGTACATACTAACACGTTCCAACGGTGAGTGTGGTCAATAATTTAAATTTGCAGATGATTTATAAATATATACCCACATATATTTATTGAAGTACAGGAGACCTTACGCACATTGTCATTACGCTAAGAACGATCTCCATTAGCCCGACTAACTAAGGGATTTCACAGCGTCCCTCAATGCGTTTTTAGTACGTGCTCGGTTGGCAAATTCCGGTTCAGAGATTATCAGATGGGCATGGAACAGCGTCCTCGGGACAATGCATGCCCAATTCGATGCAAAAAGCGGAATGTTTACCACTACTCTGGACTGTTTAAGTCCTGCGAATATTTCCATTTAAAAAAGCGAAGTTAACAAATGTGTGTTTCCGGTAACTCACCATCAACCCAATGCAGAAATTGAAAATAATAAAAGTTCGCAGAGTTTATAAGAGTCTCAGTGGACATTATCACTCATCGTTTCCACGCCCACGGCATGACAAGGTCGGCGTTTTAGGATCATTGGGGCAAGGCGGGAGGGAATGCGATAAACTGTAACTAATGTTTGTAATTCGGGCATTTGGAGCACACACCATCGTCATCAGGGGGGCTGAGTGGCGTGTAATAATCATCTGGGGTCGCCATTGGCCACGGAAGACCGAGTGCATGCGTCAACGTCTTCTGACAATATAGCACCGGATTCCCTAGCCACTGTCTCGGCTATAGCTAGCATCCGTTGGTGTTAGTCTTTAGAAAGGTTTTCGGTTTTGGGGTAAAAACCGAACAAAACCTATTTTTGTACAGACTCAATGATTCGTATGGACAAAGTGTGCAGGAAAAAAGCTCGAAATCGGTCTGTTTCCATTTCTACCTAGCCAGGCCGGCATGAGTTCACATGCCCTCTTTTCCAGGCGTCTCGTTGTGCGGCCAATGTTTCCCGCTCTGTGGTCACATCCATGTGACATGTTGAGGAGTTTGCGAAACAGTCGCATAAATTCGCCGCGAGGAAAGCGCTAGTTCGCATACTGTGTTCCCTAGACAAGGCAGTCTTATAAACAAGATGTTTTTCGGCAGGTGCCGCGGTAGGCTTTGTAGTGCGTTCGTTAATACATCGGAGGATAAACCTCTCTGGATATCCGCTTATGCGAAGTATGTTCCGTAGCTACAGGAGTTCTGCTTCAACTGTCTCACGAGAGCAGGTGCGTCGCACTCTAGCTGCCAACCCCGGGACTGAATTGTGTTCAGCATGTAAGGGGAACAACTGCGAAAATTGATGTATTGCCCTGTTTAGGTTTTCTTTCGGAACTCCCTACGTTGGATAGATTCATCCTCTTGTCCGTGCGAGGGGATATTCAGAAGCGCGATTTTGTTGTTCGCCTCAAAGTCTGCGCAGAACACTAGCGAGGGAAGCGCACTGTCAAAATTTTGGACCAGGACGTCGGTGTCGGTGATAAGTTCCGTTAGGTCGAATATATTGTTCACGCATCGACTGTAGGAGTCGAGGTCAGACAGTTGGCATATCGTCACGTCGCCTATTTGTCTGTATATTAGAGAACTGCAAAAAACCGAGCATTTTGTGTGCAGCATGTCTCATATTTTCATGTTCTATTTAACTATACTGGCCTGATGACAAGTTATGATAAAACGCTTGAGCATTAGGCAGTTGTTTCACTGCATCTGGTTAAACCAAGACTGACGGATCTTGTCCCGAGGTCTTTACCACGCGAATACTGCTGAAGAACTAATCAGACAGTCAGAACTCAGCCCTGAAAAGTGGAAATCACACCAGGTTATCGACGCCAGTTTCAATTTGCCAATTTTATAGGCTGACACACTACACTTCTTTCACACGAAGGGTAAATATTTATTGTTTTTTCATTAAGATGTAAATAGTTTACCGAGAAAAAAAAAGTTTAACTGTTGAACCGAATCGACGGACACCGTGAAAATAGCGTCTTTGTATTTTTCTTATAGCCTCCGACGGAAGGATTTTCTGCCCCGTGCCTTCTATACAATTAAATGATCCTCGGGAAGGGGTGAGTCCACAGCCCTTGGATGATCAGATAGTCGACCTGAATCACGGCAGTTATCAGCATTGTGAACTGCTCCAAGCACCCTACCATCGAACCTGCCTTCCGCAAAACACAGTCAACACCAACAACCTGGAGAGCATTTGGATTTGCCTTCCAGACGCCAACTACAGCTCCTCCACGAAGTCTGCCGTCATCCAGGCCATAATTGAAGGTAGGGTCAAAAATTGCGCACAATTTTAAATACCTTTGTACAGTTTTGCTGGGTGAGACTATGCTTTTATTTATAGTTTCGTTTTATCGGAAGAAAAATGCAACCATATTTTAAGTGGCGTGAATGCTGGTAGCCATCTATAGTAGGTAGCATATCTCATGAATTATTTGCTAAAATTCTGAAATTTATTTTACACTAGAAAAGATTTCTTATATATTATTTATCGTGCATTCTAGCCCGAGATATTTCATTCACGGCAGGTCGGGTTCAGAATTATCCGAGAATTATTAAAAGTTTTTTTTAAACCGAATTATATCTTTTCTTTAAGTGTAATAGTTAAAGACGTAGTTTCATAACAAGTCAGTAAAAGAATGAATATTTTTATGCATGGTTTCTATGTTTGGATTTATAAGGGCATCAGAAATCAGTTAGAAAAAAATCGTCCTGCCTAAGTAGTCATTTTTTACAGGGTGTAGCTTTTGCAGCCGGCTGAAAAGAAGTTCATTCAAAAGCCGGCATTTTAAAATAACTGAATTATTATGGGATTGTGCTGCGCGGTAAGCTAAACTGCAATCATAGCTAATTAATCTTTTTGTGCCGGAAACGCATTTAAGAATTTCGGCTAACATTTCATGAGTTGTCATATGTGCTCTGCACTCACTCTCACATCAATCAAAAATAAATAATTTATTATGTTTTAGCAACCACCGACGCAACAACGACAACAATAAACGAGATGGAGTCTCCTTTGAGTCAATTCAGTCAAGGCAACACACAAAAGGCCGCATACATCCTCGAGGCAAGGACAAACGACCAAAACCTCGATGAGGCTGTCTCTTGCCCCATTGAGGCACTCATTAAGGACTCTATCCAAGACGTCACCGACTTTGGACCCCATATATCCTTCCAGTTCTCACTTATGCTTTGTTCTGATGAGGGATTTTGCATTCGCCAATGAGACATGTGGTCCAGACTGAAATTCGGAATGAATTTGCTTTGACAAAGATGTGCTGCCGGACAAACATTTCAGCACCACCGTTTTATACTTTTTTGAACTCTGTTTTCAAAATGTCTATTTACGACATCACTATTGACTATTCTGTACTGTCCGAAGAATCTGAAACCGACATCACATCGGTGGGACCATCTTCTGCTTGTCCTTGTTAGTGCTTGTGTATACTTGTATCATGTTGTGTGTTTCTGTAAAATGCCGAATTCGATTTGCTTCATTAAATTTGTTTTGGATTGGGGTCAAACGTGCTTAAACGTCCCTTTTTTACTTTATTCGCGTTACAGGTGACATGAAAAGGGTGTTCAAGGTAGATTTCTCACGAAATCTAAACTGCTTCGTGCTGCATTATTCAGGATTTTTTTATTTGTTATAAACAAAACGTCTTTTCAAGTTTGCCAGATCGGGCATGAAAATATAGAGCCCCCATTAGGCAGGTGACCCTGCCTCTAATTGCAGGAGGACGGTAAGGTCAGGGGAATAGGGGCCACCTGAAGTTTTGGGAAATCTGTATTCTCATGCCTTAGCCCCTTTCCTTTATTTTCGTTTTCGCAAATAAAGTAGTGTAACCTAGTTCCACGTGAAGGATTGATGGGCAGTTGTGATGCGAACCTTTTTAAAGCGTCTGTTCTTTTTAGGAAGCATCAACTAACATCCCATCTTAAACATTTTTAAATATGGGGTCATTTGCCAAGTTTCCACTCCCAATTGATGGTTTTGAATTGAAACTGATCCCTTAAAAAATTGAGGTCGACATGTTTAGGGTGCCCCCTACTTACCACGCCATCATTTCAGTAGTGACGAAGTACGCATTTTTTGTTTATGTCGGCCACTGAAGTTGGGGAAACATAATAAAACACTTTTTTCTCCATCAGACGCGTGCTTTGTCGTTTTTATGTCGATTCTTGACGCAGCTGCGAGGGGTTTGGTTGCTAAGTGGGTCCCTCAGGTTTATTTTTTGAAAAGGTCAAGAGACTAAAACAAAAACTGTCGGATCAGTCAAAATTCAGGAAGGCAAAAAAGGGGAAGGTTAAGACGCAACCGACTGACTGTTTGAAAAGACTTTAGGCGCGTGGCCCTGTAAGCGAACACAACGTAGAGCGTTTCCGAACCGTCGGTACGCATACGCACCTCGGTTATACGGCTTGCCGAAGATCAGCAAAGATGGCAAAGTGGTTCGTCCAATCCTGGGTACGAGGACATCGTCGGGCACGACGGTCGAACTATCGTGTGTGTGTGTGTGGAGTGGCTGACCGATGAACTGGGAGCCAGACTACAATGCCTCCTGTGTGGACCAGGTCGTGTGTGGCACGCGTAGACGGAATTTTGTGTTCCGTCAGCCACTTGCGCCCAAACCCATCGTCAAACGTCAAAACGGCTCGGATAGCAGACTGGTGCACGGGAAAGCCAAGAGGGCGCGAGGTCGACTCATTGCGTTGCCTCAAAACAAACAGTAAATGATCCCGATCGCGGCCAGCAGGACAATGGATTCGTGGCTGATTGATTGAGCGTTCGACTCAATGACCAAAGAGCCCAGGGGGGAGTTCGAATCTCAGGCGCCCCAAGCCCGTGGTTGGACGTGCCTCGCCGACAATGACTACTAAACGAGAAATGGCCGTCCAAGTTGCATTTGTCTTTGTTGGTACACCTCTCAGCACATAAAGTAGGTGGGCTAACTCATGAAATGTCAGTCGAAATCCGACATGGGTTTTCGTCTCGAAAAGATTAACTAAATAGGGTTGCAAAACAAGTCAGCCTGCGACGCAAATCTATAACATTTTAGTTACCACAGGATGGCGGCTTTCGAATGAACTTTCTTCCGGCTGCATGCGAAAACCATGCTCTAAAAATGACTAATTAATAGCATGCATTTTTCTTAATGCTTCCCAATGCCCTTAAAAATGGAATTATATTTAATTGAAAACATGCATACAAATATTCATTCTTTCGCTCATTCGGTAGAATATTACGTCTTCTTCCAAATTTATACTCGAAGGAGGGACGTAATCTGGTTTAAACAAAGTTTCTAATTAGGGCACTTTTAAATACTGTGAAATTGCCGTTCATAAATCGTCATGTCTCTGCATTTACCAATGCGGTTTGTAAAGTTAACAATATGGATGACATCCAATGCTAAATTTTATGAATTCCATACAGTCTCCTCCTTATACCACAGAGAAGTGTATAGTTTTCCGTACACGGGAAATATACGGCCTGTAGTTTGGAAACCCTGAATGCAAGTGTAACGGCAGGTCGGGTTCGAAATTATTCGGGAATCGGAAAGTGTTTTGAAAGCTGGATCATACCATTCGTTTAAGCATAAACTTAGAAGAAGACGTAATTTTCTACTGAATGAGCGGAAGAATGAATATTGTTATGCGTGTTTTCTAAGAAATACGATTGAGCTTTTTTGGGTATCGAAAATTACTGAGATAAATACATGCTAATTAGGTACTCATTTTTTAGAGTATGGCCTTTGCATGCAGCAGGAAAGAAGCCGTTCGAGATCCGGCATTCTGAAGTAATTAAATAATTATTGTACTACGCTGTATGATGATTAGTTTTACGACCCTATTTACTTAATCTTTTCGAAACGAAAACGCATTTCGGTTGACATTTTATTAGGTAGCCCGCCTACTGTATTCATAGTCGCTATGCAACTGCCTTTGTTGGCTCTTGCCTAAGACTAAGGACACAGGCGGACGAGCATACTCCAACACAGTCCTGATAAATACTCTGGCGCGCTTTTAAACCATGAATATATGCTGCACGATAGTCAGTATTGCAATCCCGCTTACGCAGTCCCACATAATCGATAGCACGTTTTAGAATTGCCATTAAAATTGCAGAAAAAGGTTAAAGAAAATTTATTGAATTACAGAACTAACGAGCTTGTTGTGAGACTTTTAATTGTGTGTCTAGAATTGTCCAATTCCCATCTAGTTTCTCAAATGATGTGGTTAGATTTTTTTAAACATCATTGCGGTTGATTGAGGCGTAATGTAAGTTGTTAATCTGTAGGGGCTGTAGTGGAAAGAGAAATAGACATGTCTTATGTTTGACCCTGGAGTTACTGCAAGGCTTTTTGGCTAGGATAGTTTTCTCAGACCCGATGGAGGCCCGCCGGGATTTTTCCAAAAATCTCCAGGTCAAAATAAACCTTGACCTACACACATGCATCAAAGCCATGCTTTGCAGACTGTGAGAGTTGGGCGTACCTAATGCCACGGGCCAGTGTTGCTTTCACAGTAGCTTTCTGTAGAAAACTCCAACCTAGGCAGCCTACAGCATGACTGCAGTCTGGTGAACTTCGTTTTACGGTCAAAGCTTGTGATATAATGCACAAAACTTTGACTATATACATATATATGTCCGTGGTCTTTGTCGCCCCGACCAAGTTTATTTGCTTCGGGAAGCCACTGGATCGGTGGGCGCCCATTCCTGAGTGAGTATATACATATATATGTACCGAGGCAATCAGGACACTTAGAGGGAAGCACCTAGCGCACATAAAAACGGCATAAAACCTTAAGTGGGCATCCGAGCCCAAAACTTACAGAATTGTTCTTTCCTGTCATTCGCACGCAAATATTTGAGGGGATGAAAGTGTGTTTTGATAGAAACCAGCGCTTTTAAGACGGTCCCCATCGAAATTCCAATGCTCTGCTTCAATAAAAAGTGTCAGTTCGATGTCAAGTATTAACAACAGGTTAAGGGCAACCCCATGGCCTCGCCAATTTCGGGGCTACTCGCAAAACTAGTCCTACAACGAATAGAAGACGACGCAGCGCATTCGTCATCATAAACACCTGCGAAGTTAAGTAACTTCGCCAAAGCTCGAATGGGACCGTCGCAGATCTATAATTTACTCGCGCTAGGAGATATCTTCCCGTTTCCTGTGAGTTTACAGAAGCTTAGAGCCGGCGGCCTCACAACAAGCCAAAAACCGAATAAAACCCTTCTTTCAATTATAAACCTGGAAGAAGACGTGATTTTCTAATTAATGGGCGGAATATTGAATATTTTTCTTAATGTTTTCCATGAAATATAATTGAACTTTTAGGGCATCGAAAATCAATGAGAAAAATGCATGCAACATAAGTAGTCATTTTTTACAGAGCATAGTTTTTGCATGCAGCCGGAAGGAAGTTCGTTCGAAAGCCAAAGCGTACTGAGGTAACTGAAGCATTTCAGAATTATACTGCAGTCTGATTAGTCTTAAAACCCTACTTAATTAATCTTTTCGAAACGAAAACGCATTTCGTAATCTCGGTTGGCCTGTCATGAGTTAGCTTACCTACCGTACCTATATGGGTTTTTTCTCAACTCAGCGGATACCTGATCAGTTTTTTGAAAAACTGAGACAACCATAAAGCTTCGACTCCATCAGGGGCAGTGTGTCGTGCAAATTCTGCTCTCTGCCCTGTGTGCCAAGAGTTACCGAAGAGATCGCCTGACAAGTAAACTGGTTTGGCGTCCCAATCGCCGTAGGCCGGCGCCCTCCCTACGCCCAGCATTATCCCACACCGCATCCCGTGTGTCGACCCTCCATGAATTATTTCAGCCATACAGGTCGATAACTTGGGACCAGCATAAGAGAACGCGAGTTAGCCATTCGCGGACGAGACCCCCTATATCTCGTGTTTGCGCACCGCCTTGACTTCGACCGCCACTTCAAGTGGGACGGGACTGCAAGGGTCGCCAGTGCTACCACCAAACAGGTGCGAGAGTTTTTTGAAGCCTGGCCCTCCAACACCACCAGCTTCGACTTCCATGCCGACCTTGATGCTACTATAAAGGTTTGAGTCCACGGCTCACTGGTTTGCGTCCACCCTTAAACACCATCTGGTAGTCCATGTTCGGCTATGCAGAATATCACGGATTCCGCACCTCCCCGACACAGTGAACTATAAATGGGACCTTCATTTCCCAATCCCCTTACTTCCAGC